TGCCCACCTCACCCCTGCCCACTACTTTGTACATAGCAAGTGGCAGAGAGTGCTCCCACATCCTCGGTCACATGCCACACACGCCCACCTGCTGCCCTGCCCACCCAGCAAGTGCCAACACGCACTCTTGCACTGCTGGACTGATGACAAGCAGTGGACTGCACCCGCACAGCCCACCCTCAACTACCCAGCACACCTGATGAACAACAACATACATTCACCCTGCCCACTGCTGCCCCGCCCACCTGGAAATAGGGGATGAGCGCTTCCACGCTGCCAGACGAGCCATCAGCGGAGCATGCTGCCCTCATATATCAAAACAAAACAAAAATTAGGAAAAAAAATGCAATCAATAAATACATAAAATAACACCGTAATGCCTCAGAGACAGCAGACAATAAAATCATATGAAAAAAAAACAGGATAAGATAGCTCAAAAAAGTGAGCAAATAAAGGGGCAGAAGACCTTCCTGAGGAAGAAATGGTAATTTCTGTAACAATCACCTGATACAAAATTCAATATACTTACATATAGGATCCTCAAAGAAATCAAGAAAAATACAGACAAAACCCTACAAGAATTCAGGAAAACAATACAAGAACAAAATGACAAAATAAATAGACAATTAGAAAGCTCACAAAAGCAACAACTACAAATCCAGAAGATTAACACTAAAATATCAGAAATAGATAACTCAAAGGATATACAAGTAGAATTGAATTAATGGAAGAAATAATCAGTGAAAAAGAGGACAAATCCCTTGATACTAATCTGTTTCAGGAACAATCAGAAAAAAAAGAAAAATGAAGAAAACCTAAGAGTTATGTTCGACAATATCAAGAGGAAGAATTTATGCATAATTGGAATCCGAGAAAAGGAGGGGAGGAAAAAAAGCACAGAAAGAATTTTTGAAGATTTATTGACAAAAAACTTCACTAATATCATGAAAGATGAAAGGTTTCCATCCAAGAAGCTCAATGAACCCCATACAGGATAAACCCCAAAAGAAAGTCAACAAGACATAACATAATCAAACTTTCCAAAACCAAAGACAAAGAATTCTGAGAGCAGCTCATGAAAAATGAAATATCACCTATAAAGGGGCACCCGTAACACTAAGTGTGTGCTGATTTCTCATCAGAAACCATGCAGGCAAGAAGAGTTAGATAACATATATTAAACCCTGAAAGAAAAGAATTGCCAGCCAAGACTCATATATCCAGCAAAACTGTCTTTCAAATATGGTGGCAAAAGTAGAACATTCCAAGATAAACAGAATTGTAAAAAACAGACCAATCTTACAAGAAATATTAAGACAGCCCTCCAGATAGACAACCAGTATCAGAAAACAACCTGAGATTAAGACACATGACAGCATCACCTAGGTACCAACCCAGATAAAGAATTCTCAAAAGTAAAATAAATCTGCAAAACAGGAAACCAGAGATGTCAATCTGTAAATGACAACAACTTCAAAACAAAAAGGAGAATAAATGGTGTAGTTATAAAACTTCCATATGGAGAGGAAGTCAAAGCGACATCAAGATGTAAAACCATTTTAAACTTAGGAAAATAAAGGTAAATTTCAGAGTAACCACAAATAAACTTAATAAATCTACTCCCCAAAATAAAGAAAATCAAAAAGACTCAGTAAACACAAAATCAGCAACAACAAAGTATATGAAGAAAATCCATAAACAAAAATAACTCAGCACAGAGAATTAAGCAGAACAAAGAAACTGTTAACACACACAAAAAAAAGCATAACAAAATGGCAGGAGCAAATTCATACCTATCAGTAATCACATTGATTGTAAATGGTTTAAATGCACCAATCAAGAGACAGACAGTGGCAGACTGGATAAAAAAAAAAGTGACCCATCACTAT